CAGCCAGCCGTTATCCCACCGTAAGGGTTCCATTCACCAGAATAGCAAACCTTGGGGCAGTGATGCATCTCATCACCCACGATCGGAATCTTTGGGGGAAACCCATCTTCATCAGCACAACCTCCAGTGTTCTCCAGTTCATTTTGTCATAGGCTTGCACCATATCGACTTTCAACGCCAGCCATCCTTTAGAAGACTTGGAGACCTTGAACATGTTCATAATCTCCTGCCCCAATAGACAGTGATCAGAGATTTATCTCCCTGGCACAAAAGGCCGCTTGTTCCTCCGAAACAATGGACGGCAATATTCCTTTGATGCGGTTGACTATGATCTTAGCAATGACCTTATAGATTGTTTGACAGAGACTGATCGGTCTAAATTTAGAGGGATGGTCCGCATTATTACCCTTAGGCAATAAAACCACAACAGTATCCTTCCATTTAGGCTCCATCCGTCCTGAAGAGAAAAATTCCAAGCACGCCAAGATGACCTGCTCACCAACAATGTCCCAAAAAGATTTAAAGAAGGATGCCGTCACACCATCACGTCTAGGGGCACGATTCTTGCCCATTGACTTCACGGCTAGCCATATTTCCTCACGGGTGATCTCGCTGTCCAGAGACATGCCTAGCCGCTGCAAGCAAGCAAAGTGCAGATCAAGGGAGGGCCACCCGCAGTCAATGATATTATTATTCTCCCATTTTCGTTGGAAAAAATCCTCCATAATTCTCAATATCTGAGACTGATCAGTAACCATCCTCCCATCCGGGAGCTTGAGCTGATCAATGAGATTGGTCCTCCTTTCTCGCCGACGCCATGTTGTGGAAGAACCATGTGTTCCCATCTCCCTCCTCAATCCATCGAACCTTCGCACATTGCCCCCACCAGGTCATAATCCTGGTCAGGGTAGCCTTCAGCAGTTGGACTTTATTTCTGAGAGATTCGGACTGTGCCTCAAAGAGGCCGGAAGGAGAGCAATCAATTTCCTGTAAAATGCTAATCTCACGGTCAAGCTCGTCCTTTAGCTGGTTCAACAATTTGATTTTGTTTCAACTCCAAAAGAACAACGCCTTCAAAGTCCTCTGGCACTTTCTCTGCAGGATCTTCGCTTCCGAGCCAGAATCATGTACCTTCCATTTCTCCGTAACCAATTGCCACGCCCTCGGATAGCTGGCCCAAACAACCTCAAACCGGATCCAAGTGGAATAGGCCCTCCTTCCACCCGCCTGAACCGAACAGAGGATGGGACAATGGTCAGAAGTAAGCCTAGATAGGTGCTTAACCTTCAAACCCTGAAATTCATCCAGAATGGATGAGCTGATTAGAAATCGATCCAAATGCGAGTAAATCCGACTTCCGGCATCCTTATTGTTTGTCCAAGTGAAGGAAGGCCCCAAGAAGCCAGGGTCCACCAAGCCGTTCGCATTCATGAATTCTCCCATGTCACCAGCAGCAGGGTTGAAAAAAAAGGGTCTCCCCCCCCCTCTTCTCACACAGTGCCATAATGCAATTGAAGTCCCCTCCCACCACCAAAGGGGCGTTGGCAACATGATGCTGCGAAATGTCCTCCCAGATCCGTTGCCTAGTGTACCTTTCCTTGTCACCGTAAACCACCGCAAGCTCCCATGACAGAGAACACGTCCACCTAAAACTCCCCATAATACATTGGTTTGTTTGAAAGGTGACAGTGAAGGTTCCAACTGACCCAAGCCAAAGACCAAGAATGCCCCCAGCCCTTCCCACTGACGGCTGAAAGCTGAAATCCCAATTCCTCCCCGCAAGCTTGTCCACATCCGCACGAAAGAAAGTTTCCATTTTGGTCTCAACTAGACCAATGATGCTGATGTTATGCTCCCCAATGAGGTGTCGTAAGAAGTTCCCGGTCTCCTTCTTGCGCGCACCTCTGCAATTCCAACAGAGAATGTTAAACATTATCCACCAAAGGGGAAGCGTCCCCGCCGCAAAAAACATCCGAGAAAACCTCCTTCCATTGATCTGAGAACTCCTCATCCATCCGGCCACCCGAGGAGCAATCCTTGATTGTTATATTGAGCTCAGGTTGTACAGGAGTGACCCTCTCCCGTAAATTCCTGTTTCTACGGACACCAGGCAGCTTCTGAAGGGGACCAATGCACCCCAATTCTTTCATCTGTTTGTCTTTAGCACCTCTAGTGTTAACATTTTTCACCTTATGGACATCAGACTTCGTTCCAGAAAATCGCAACACCCTTGGGGTCAATTTCTGAGCAGGGGAAGCCGTCGCCTCACCACGTTTCCTCCGCCTAGTACCGTGCAATTGTGTAGACCCAAGCATAGAGCAACCCTCCACCACATTAGATTCCCCGCTGTCCACTGTCCCATCCGGAAGGGAAGCCATTTGAGGGATATTCCCCACGCCGTCCGTCGCCATACCGTCTAGAGCGCACGCTTTCGGGAAGCCCGTCCCAGCCTGTGGAGGCACCCCATGAGTCTCGAGACCTGTGATAGGTTCATCACAATTTTTATCCATCATAAGCGAGTCAATCATATGGTCAGATGAACCGTTGATCCCTCCATCCATCACTAGTTCCTTCTCGTTTGTACTTGGACCCTGATCCATACTCCCAGCATTCCTTAAGTTCTTGATCGTATTCGCATTACCAGAACCGGTCCCCCCATCAGTCCCCATATGGATATCCCCCTTACTAACAGCTTTCCAGGCCAAATTGTTGGAGGTTCTCCTTACTGTTCCGGACTGGGCAATCCTCTGTTCCGTCAAA